CTAAGAAAATGTAGCCGTTGATAAGTTCATGAATGTTTTCTCTTGATTTTGACTGTTAGCTATGAATAAAACCTATTCACTGTAATCAGTTATATACTATAGTCAAAGTTTACCGGAACCGAGATGTTAAAGGATGCATATTACATAATTTTAACCATTACTCGTATCTTACTTCTCCTCTTTGATCTCGCAGTGCATCTAAACCCAGATCTTTTACATCAACAAGTTTCACTTCTACACCATGTGCGACAGAACCTACGGTACCTAGACGGTACTCTCCAACTAAAGTAATAGTTATACTCCCCATTGTTTCTGTTGATCCATACCCCTCAGCAAGCTTTTGTAGGAAAAATATAAAACAAACATTCGAATTGAAAGTTCATCATTAGATTGGAAAAAATAAGAGAAATCATGGAATTATTTCATTTAATTGATAATAAGCAATGAAATAAGCTAATAAATAAAAAAAAATTAAAAACGTGTCCTTCAACAATGAGAAATAACATCTCATAAAGTCTCTGATAACTATTGCCGCTGAATTGTTTCTTTACAAAGAACTTCAATCTTAGTATTTTTATTCTGAAAGCAGTTGGTATGTAGTTAGCTTCATTAATAATTTATAAACAAAGCACACTATATTTTAAATCAGCAGCCTCTTCTTCTAGAATGAATAAATCATTAAATAATTTACTCACAATACAGTTGACAATAAAATGATTTTCAAACCTAATAAGATTTTCGCCACTTGTTTAAATTTAATGATGAAAATAGGAAAGTTTGAATATTGTTGTATACTTAAGTTTAGGTAATCCCTTCCTTTTATTGTTTCGATATGATTAATTTGATTTCATGTGTTAAGTTAGGTCTGTAGGTGAATTTGGAAGTATTTTGAACGTCATAGTTTTTTTCTTTCCTCATGGAGGTAAATGCATGAAAATGGTCAGTTAAGTGAGCGTCAGCTAAAGTAATAGAAGTTCCTATTTATACTGAAGACTGATAATCAATGAGTAAATTATTACAAAAATGCAAATTATCGCCAATAAAAATGTTCCATTAATTGCATACATATATACATGAGCGATTGCATTTTTGGGAAGCATTCCAACAACAGAGAGAAAAACTAGCTTACCAAGCCAAATGCAGCATGTACAAACTTTGATATCTCCGTTGGTAATGGAGCGCCTCCGCTGACAACACAATACACACGTCCACCTAATAACTTCCTAAGTTTCTTAAAGCATAACGTATCCAGGATACTATTATGATAGAATTTTCCACTAAAATGAACAGAAATAATAAATTACTAGTTAAAGGTTTAATATAGTGAAATCTATTTTGAATTTGTTATTAAAAAAGCATATATATAAACTAGATAAAAAAGTTCAGCTGCTTCTACGTTTCAATTACTACATTTTTGTCAAACGAAGCTAGTATCTACGCAGGTAATTCGCTGACCTAAAACAGTGGCAATAGTCTTTAATACAACTAGCAGAGCTATGTCTTATTCAAAAGACCTAAATATTCATTCATTTTTTCTCATTCTTTTTTGGCCAGTTTAATAATTGTATTTATCTGATAAGTCCAAAATGGCTTCTCAGTTAAACTTATACTGAATGTTTCATCTAGTTTAACATGCGATTCTCAACGATTTCAATAAAACAGAAAACTTTATGTACTAAATGACGGAATGCAAACCTTTAGACATAAACTAATGTTTAGATTTGAATGATTTATGGCAGACTTATCGTAAACCAGCCAAACCGATGTGACCTATAAAAACAAAGGGATTTGGAGGACTAAGACTGAAATTTAGTTGTATTGGAGAAAATCCACGGGTTCTTGAGTTTTAATAGTCCTTGAAAATTTTCGTTCTTCCATTACATTTCTTTGCTTCGTAATACAGACCCAATGTATAGTTCCTAAATAAGATTGATACAATTTTGACTCCTTTGTTTGTGTCTTAGTTAATCAGAAATCAGTTAATTTAAGTCCAATTTTTCTATACACTAAACAGAAAAATCTCATACTACTTATCGCTTTTGCTTCGAGTGTTTCCAAATGTAGTTAATCGTTATATTTCGAACCAATACCATATAAGAACTATTTCGTTTGGCTCTATGCTTTAACGTCTCAAATCACTCAGTGTGCCTTGATACACATTGGACTGTGAAAAATGCTACGGATTCTTTTTTAACGCTATGAAATGTTAGTCAGTGAAGTTTTAAAGTAAAACCGTATACCGTTTTTGTTCAACCATTTTAATCTTCACAATCCGATTGTAAAGTTGTCTTTTGATTTTGGAATCATCCAATGATTTCTGGTATTTAGTGTAAATACTAGAAAGTACTCGTGGAACTGCTGTTATCACACCTGGTTTCAAAGCTTGTGCGTCTACCACCAAATTATCAATAGAATCAGTTAGAAATCCCAGACGGGCTCCCATCATAATATAATAGGACTACAAGAAAGTGAGATAATCGTTCGAGAAGAAAAATACGTCGATAAAATTGCTCAATGAAACTATAAAAAAGTAAAGATTGTAAACAAAGTAAACCAGTGATTTGCCCCAACATATGTTTTGTTCCAAAACTTTAAATAATTAAAAAGAAGAATATATTTGTAAAATCTCAGCGAATGAATTTTAAGTAAATCCAACGTTTCGCCTGACAATCTGGTCCAAGCTTTTTCAAGAAAAATATAATCAAACAACACAAAATTATCGAATATAAATAGGTACATGGTTCTTCGGTTTACTGTATACTGAATAAGTCATCCAATCTACGTGAAGGATTTTTTTATACAAATACCTATTTATAAAAAATCCTTCACGTTCATTGGATGACTTATTCAGTATACAGTAAACCGAAGAACCATGTACCTATTTATATTCGATAATTTTGTGTTGTTTGATTATATTTTTCTTGAAAAAGCTTGGACCAGATTGTCAGGCGAAACGTTGGATTTACTTAAAATTCATTCGCTGAGATTTTACAAATATATTCTTCTTTTTAATGTCTCAAATTAACTCGGCGACCAAATATTGTGAAACTATTCGTTCAAATTTAGACGAAAGTTCTTACTTTAAATAATTGTTTTAAAATCTACAGAAAATTACTAAAACATACTTAAAGAAGCATTAGTTCTTGTCGTAAGAGAGTTGCTTTCAAGCTGTATGAGATGATTGTAGTCGGGATTACTCCACTTAAAAAAAGGCATCATTGATTATTATAAAATTAATATTGACTCACAATATTCGAATTTAAAGAAAACTGTTTAGGCCCAACAAACAAGAATAGTCTTAAATTATCAAGCACATGCTATATCAAAGCTTCACTTAGCATAGTGGCCATAAAATCCTTTCTGTTATATGAAAACTTATCTTTTAATTCGACAAACTGTATGTGTAGTTTTGTTTACTTTATAGTTTACATCACAGGCAGGTATCACCTGAATAATCAATGACAACTAAGAATCACTGGATGGACGAGTTCGAAATTACTTAGAAATGTGAACCTATGACCTCATAAGAGGGTTAACTAATCGCCAGCATTTCTTGCTTTGGAAATCAGCATGCATGACGTTTCTCTTCACAAAAAAAAAACTCTAGCGGTTTACCTGTGAAAAAGTTTCTCAAATTTAGCCTAACATACGAAAATTCCTATTAATAGTAGATTGTTCAGCTTTACTGATGGTTGTGAAGATACAGTTCTGAACAAAATTATCAAGATAATCAATTTCCATCAGTTCATTTGTTGATTTTTTTATACAGTTCGTAGGAAGAAAAAATTTATAATTACGACATACAATTGATGTACTTGACCGTTAATATACAAAAACGCATAATAATAATGTCTGCAATTAATGAAGCGTAAATAAGATAGCTTACCGAAGTATTTGTTCCATCATATGCGCCAATGGGAGATATGAAAGATGACTTGAATTGGATTTGATGAGCTAGGAGAAACAACAAAACGAACAGTCATCCATTAAATAAATATCAAACCATATAAGTTAACTCGTACCTAAATAGTACGAAAATTTTAAGCAAAAATAAAAACGCTCGTCACGTTTCTTTTTAAGGTTGTAAAGGCTTCAAAAAATACGAAGGTAGTCTCTTACATAAAAGTTTAATGGTCTCAGCTGTCAGTGATATAAATCTAATGTAAAAAATAGGAGTAAAAGATAATGATTTAGATTGAGACAATAGAGATATGTTGCTGTATGGTTAGAATAAATTACGTTCACCGTTAAGATATATTTTTTACCTATATAAGGATTGGAAAATTTATGTGATACATGTTCGCTCTTGAACTCCAATGAAGCATAAATGGTAACGTTTACCTTGTTTTCTGAAGCTTCTAGTATGGAAAATACAGCATCCACAATCTGTTCATGGTTAACCATAACTCCTTTAGGTAATCCTACACACGACAATAAGTTGACAAAATGTTAGTTTGCAAATTACAAAAAACAAGTGATAAAATTACTTCTATCAAATAACTAGAATAAAAAGATTATTTTACCAAACCTAATAAATATATATCTACTACAAATAATGCTTTCATCAACTTTTAAAACCACCAGCCGAAGAAATAAAAGGAAACTTGACTCTTAACGTATTAGCTTCACATGTTCCTTAGAACATGGTTTGTACGAGCTGATTTATTCTTACTCAACATGTCAGCGGTCATTAACATTTATACTCTGTAAATAACATCTCCAAACCCTAATTTTCCTGATTACTGCTTATACTCTTATTACCTCTACCACTACGGGATTTGAATCGACAACTGCATCTCTGTGCTAATGTGGTGTGGCAACTCGAACTGATGTACGTACGTACGAAGTTCTACGTTGTTACTGACTGACTGACATTTACAGATGACAAAGTTGTTACAATTCGATCGCGTGTGATAGATGTCTGTGCGTTTTTGGAATAAGTGATTGTGTCTTTATTTTTCATACGTAATCTGGCTTTCAATTTGGAACATATTTCGCGCTTAAACTTTTATTTGATCTGAGCTGAAGTACGCTGGCTGAAGAGTTACAGGAAAAGGAAGGAATAATGATTCATCATATTATGTGGCATTAATGTAGGACATTAGTAGAACAGAAATTTATCTGTAACGAGTTTCCTAATTCGTTATCACTGTAGACTAAATTATAACTCATATGTCAGTATACAAACGAAGATCTGAGGTTAGCGAAATTACCATATAAGTATTTCCTTAGTAATCAACGGAGGAACAAAGAAAAAAGGTTATGTTCTAGTTGGAAAAATTAATAAATTAGTATTTGAAATACACCCAAACAGCATGAATGCTGAAGTGAAACTAACGCTTACCGGTGCTTCCACTAGTATAGCAAACCATGTAGAGGTCAGATGGCAATGGATCCTTTAAAATAAAGAATTACTTATGAAACCCTTTCAATACGAAAACTTAGTTTGAGCAAAAACAGCCTAATCAGTGACTGGCAAGAGACAAAATATTGAAAGGGATATTATAATCACATAAATTATGTATTTTAAGACTGAATAATCCGGAATAACACAAACAGATATATCCAGTGTATGTCAGTTAAACCAATGAGTTGCTGAGCAGGTTGGAATCGGTTTGTTGTAGGTGTTTAAAATCCGTCATTCAGTTTCACAAATATATTCATAATCATCTGGAACTGAAACCTTTATCAGATAATACGATAGATGATAAGACTAAATGATATGAGGTAACTTTTAGTATTCATAACTTTCATGTAAACGATATTTGAAAGCAAATGCTTTAACAAAATAACATTTTCTATGAATCTTTCTCAGAATATTTAAAATCGATTGAAAAGCACTAGGACCAATCAGTTATAGTAATAAAGTAAAAATGAGCGATTACAACAAGCAGACTTAAACGATAAAATGTGTTAGTTTCAAAAGATTTATGGATATGACATAATTCTCAATAAAACTTTTTGAGTAAAACTGTTTATTGTTGAATTGGTATTGGTATGAGCAGTGAAGATACAGATCGACAAAATCAACTATTTGAAAGATTTATAGAAAAAAGACATTTATTAATCACTCGTCGCTTTTCTCACAGCCCATTATAAATTTATATATATAACTTCAGGCTCATGCATGCCTTCATAAAAATTAATTTCATTTACCCAATCAACCTTAATAACAGGATTTTATATTACTATAGGTTTTCAAATAATTTTAATGAGTTTTTACGCATTTTTCGGTGAAATCATGATCACGATGAGAAACAAAAAATATACAAAGTTGAGTTAGTGTTTTACTTTTTCATTAAAACAAAGTATCAAGATATGTAGGTCTATTTGCATTCTAAGTGAGAAATGAATAAGACAAAAGAAATTAGGCTAATTTTTCAGCCCCCACTTAGAAATAAATTTCTTAATCAAAACGAAGTTATACAAAATTTGTTAAATAAAACTAGTTGACGTGCAAGCAGACAAAAATCAATATTTGGAAATTCATATTCTGAATCCAAATTAAGCAAAGTAGTTTGGACTGGTAAATTATACTGCAATTTATGGTATTTTTTAACTCAACAAAATCCACAGAATACTGTACAAGTACTAAACGCAGCAAGTGCATCCAATTTTCGACTACAGTTTATGATAGGTGGGATAGTGACACACACTTGAAATGAATGAGTTAAGAAAATATGAACACTCACTTTCTTTGGTAAAAGTTTATTCATTCCCAGTTCCTGAAACATTATATGACGATAGAGTGTTGATAAAATGATCCTAGTTTCGGCAAGATCTATATTTTTCAACTACAATGTTGGTTGTTTATACTAAAGGCAACCTTTGGATAATGAACGCATATAGTCATGAACATAACTTCTGAAGCAAAATAATGCAAAAATCTAGGTGATTATTCTGTAATTTGATTGTTAATTAAGGGGTATGATTAGTTTTAACAAAAATCGTAAATTTTGCATGGTCAACATGAAGACCAATAAAATTTGAGGTGGTATGAATGAAATTGATATCACGTGGAGAAAAAGTTATAAAAATTGAAAAATTCTTGAACAAATTCAATTTGTTTTGAGGGGTGAATATCATCTCAAGTGACAGCTAGGAATTTATTTTCATTTTATAAGTGGTCGTTCAATGGAAGTTTTAGTAGTTTATCTTGACATTAACCACTTATGAGAGGTGTTTCAAGCGACCATTAAAGTTTTGAACAACCGAATAATTTTGATATAAGCAAATGAAGCACTTGAAGACTACTGAGCAATTTTAGAGTCTTCACTAATGAACTCCTCAATATTATAGTGGTCAAGATAATAAACAATGAAGAAAAATCAGAAATCACACTGTTACTAAGTTTATAGGTGAGAACCAAGTTATCGGCATAGATTACTTACATCAAACTGCATAATTTATCTCATCGCCATATGTGTTAACTTGACTAAGTGAGAGCAAAAAGAACTAACTGTATGAGCATATTTTCATAAAACTAGGTTTCTTTGTTAGAAACGTAGTTTATTGAAGCCTTGGCTATACGAAAATTGAAACCCCCTTTATGTGTTCAAAACAATTTGTACTTACACTTAACTTACCCTGGTCTTTAACGCTTCAACCGATGGAAACGCAACCAGAAACAAGGTAGTCAAAAAGACTTCCTCCATTTCCGTTACGTGAGAAACACCAGTGCTTGTACTCGGCACGCTACTCTGCTCCATAATGACGATTGAAATTGTGCTTCGTCGACAAGTACTGATAATTTATAACAATTTTCAAGACATAACTAACCAATTAAATCTAATTTTTGAAACTAGCCATTTCACTAGTGACTGACTTCAGGAAAAACTCCCGAAGTTCTAGTGGAAGCCGTTACCAGTGGAGTTCAACCAGGTCTGTTGTGAGATATCAGCTCACTGAAGACAATGGTGTACGGTGGCGCAACTTCGTGGATTGGTTGAAGTTAGACATTAACACCGTTGGATGCCGGCTCAGTGGTCTAATGGTTAAGTGCTCGCGCGCGAAGCCAGTAGGTCCTGGGTTCGAGCCCCGCGTGGTGCGGGATCGTGGATGCGCACTGCTGAGGAGTCCCATACTAGGACGAAACGGCCGTCCAGTGCTTCCAGGTTTTCAATGGTGGTCTAGCTTCAACTGACTCATGATTTCAATCTGGGAAAAATATTGTAATTTGGGGGTGGAAAATTTTTTTAATGGGGTGGGGTTTTTTTTAAAAAAATGGCCGGTCGGACAATATTATTCCTGATTTACTATCCAGAGTGGTAATCACATTTGTTTTTGTGTACTTTAATATTTTTCCTTTGTTATGACTTACCCTTAACCTGTCTAGTTGACCTTTTAATTTTTCATATATAAATGTTCTTAACAAGAATATGTGTGGTCAGATAGTTCGAAATGTATTGCGCAAATATATAACATAATTCTGATAAACTACGTCTTCTCATTGCATTATCGAAATTTATCAAAGGGACTAATTGTTTTAAAGAAACGTAGTTATCGTTAAGGTGTTTCTTTTTCCGATTTCTTTATTGATTAATACGGTCAATATATATATATATATATATATATATATATATATATATATATATATATATATATATATATATTCGATCATTTTTGCATTAAGATTAAACGTAAATATAAGGTCAGAAAACAAGACAACAGGAATCAGATTTTCAAGATTAGGAAAGGATCCGAAGTAATGGTAACGCTTGATTTACGAAGTTTACACCTTTCTTCAAACATAATTCCACTTCATAAGTCATTGGATATTAAGTTAGTGAATTGCGTAGCGAAAATTATACATGTGAAAAGCTTTATAAAACAAGACCAGAAGTAAAACTCACTCTGGTAAGAATTCATAATATCTTTAAATCAAATCTTAACTAGTAATAAGTTCAAACTATTCTATGGATTTTTCTCCTTGTCATGAGTAATTTGTGCAAGTAATGAGGTTATTGAACAAGGATATTTTAACTTTTATGGGTAGAATACGAATTAGATAGATAAAGGTGTAGAAACTGAGAGAAAAGTTCAACAAAACGTTAATTACTAGTATAGGGGTTGTGGAGATTATTAAGTTTTTGATTGACATCATGAACCGATTGATGTTAGACCACCACAATCCCGCTCGCGGGATCGTGGATGCGCACTGCTGAGGAGTCCCACAATAGGACGAAACGGCCGTCCAGTGCTTCCAGGTTTTCAATTGTGGTAGTCTAACATCAATCGGTTCATGATCTCAATCAAAAACGTTGATTTTTGACATTTGTATGTCTACTCGTTAAAGGAGTATTTTTTAATGTACTTACCATGAAGTCCTCAAACAAGTACGCAGAGACTTTTGAGCCGTGACGAGACTTAACTTCTTCAACTTTAACATCATATGAAACAATGATTAAATATTGAAGAGAAGATTCGAACTTGTCCAGCAGATGAAGAGCTTCAGTTCCTGAATTACACAGCATACAATTCACTTGTGCTAAAATCAAATTGTAATAAGACTGATCACTAATGATAGAATTTTTCATGTTCTTTTTTGTCTACAATAGTGACTTTACGGCATATCAAAATAGAAACATATGTGTGGGAAATTTCAGTTAACATTAATTTAAATAAGCATGAAGATTTCAAAATTACGTATCACGTCCTTAAAAACAAAATTTATTTGATGTTTTATTTCGTACCAAGTATTTTATTTCCAGAAGTTACTAGGATCAGTGTTTAGAATTAGTAAGCTAGCAAATAGTGTAAAGTGTAACACGGTACTCAATTAGAAATGTTTCCTCCGAAAATTAATAAAGATTATAATATCGAACTGATGATTATTAGATTATTGTTATATATTAAAAACAGCTGAACATGTAGCCGATGCCTAAGTAACTCTATGTTATTTGATCATCCTTTAATCCTGCTGAATATTACCATAGTCCTTTTAACTTTTATAGTGATCTTGTGACATCGAAAAGCTTATGTAAAACTTAATCTCATACAGATACATAATATTTACACAGATTGAAATCATGAGTCAGTTGAAGCTAGACCACCATGGAAAACCTGGAAGCACTGGACAGCCGTTTCGTCCTAGTATGGGACTCCTCAGCAGTGCGCATCCACGACCCCGCACCCCTTCTGGTAATAATCATCTGCTCACTAGTGACTGACTTCAAGAGATACTCCGGAAGTTCTAGTGGGATGCCGTTACCAGTGGAGTTCAACCAGGTCTGTTGTGAGATATCAGCTCACTGAAGACAATGGTGTACGGTGGCGCAACTTCGTGGATTGGTTGGAGTTAGACATTAACACCGTTGGATGCCTGCTCCGTGGTCTAATGGTTAAGTGGTTGCGCGCGCGAAGCCAGTAGGTCCTGGGTTCGAATCCCGCGGGGTGCGGGATCGTGGATGCGCACTGCTGAGGAGCCCCATACTAGGACGAAACGGCTGTCCAGTGCTTCAAGGTTTTCCATGGTGGTCTAGCTTTAACTGACTCATGATCTCAATCTGTGAAAATTTCTAAAATCTCCACAAACCCCTTCTGATAACATAATATTTAGTATAGAAAAAATATTGTCAAATAAAAAGTGAGAATTAACTCAGTGAAATGAAAAAACTCACTTTGAGATAAAATATGTTGTATTGCTTCATTACCAAATGTAGGATAGATGGGCACAATAGTATAACCATATGCAGCGCATGCATGTTGCATAATAACCCACTGGATAATAGAAGGAATAATGATCATAACAAAATATGTAATTAGTAGACAATCTATATGAATCTTTATGGAACCAAATAACAGATTCGGGTTTTTGTTGTGCGCAAAAATATCACTTCCAGAACACTTTATGCTTATTGGGTATCGTTACGTTCAGTCTAGAACATTCGAAGTTTAGACAAACTATTAAAAAATCTCATACACTTGATTTTAATTAAATACACTTCTATAAAATACACACAAAAGCCTTGACAATGTTTTTCCTTTATCAAGTTCAAACATAAAGAAATACAACAATATAATAGCGTTCAAACAGGGAAATCACATGCTTGATGTATTGCATGTTTTGATTTTAAAAATTCCTGCTAGGTTTAATGCTGTACTGACATAGAAACTGAATGTATAACATAAAACATCCCAAAATAGCCCAATCAATTCAACTGCCAAACCTTTAAGAGTCATATGATAAGTTACCTTTAAGACAAAGTGATGAAGAACCAGTTCGGATAATTGCAAAAGCATTGCTAATCACTTGAATGTTCTCTGCCATACTACTCAAAGACTTCACTTTACTTTGTTTCAATAATTAATAAATGAACTGTTAATGAAAGTACTTTGTTCACTAGACTTCCCTAGTTTTTCTCAGATTATCCGTCCTATAAGGTTATAAACACTAGTGTTCTGCCTAATTCCAGAGAATAGTTGAGTAAATTTGTTAGAAAGCAACGTTTATAATGGTGATAGATTCTGGAAATGGTTACCGACTATATGCTGATTTAATGGCATTCCCATATTGATCTACAAGAAAAACACCATAAGCACACGAATAAGATCACTTCTATTTTATATTACCATTAGAAGTGAGAACTAGCTTGGCATCAAAACTTATAAAGTAACCAATTTTGTCCTCTTTATTATCAACTGACACTTATTCATTAAAAATAGAATTTTTATTGATCATAAAAGACTAGTAGGCATATTGGGCACTACAATTTAGATGATTATTAGGAAATGTTTAGGAATCATGACCATAACTCCAATGGTTAAAGTATTATTTATTTGGAACTGTGTTTGAGTGAAAAAGAGGACAAGATTTGGGATATCGATATCGAGGAACAAATTTGATATCAGTTACATGCACTTTGTGCACCAAAATTTTCTATCAGTTGATATAGGAATCGACAGATGAGGAAAAACCACAGGATGACGTATGCACAGAATAAATGCACTATATATATCCGACTAATCAGCTTAAAAGAACGAGACTCGTGATTTATTGTACAGCATCAAAATTTCGAAATTCACAAATTATCAGGTACATCTCAACTTTACTAATGACCTATCATAATTTAGTAATAAATTCCTATCAGTATCCGGGATAAAAGCTTTAACAACCAGCCAGCCGCTAGTTTAAAATCAAACAACAATTATAATCACCTCCGGTGAGTTCGGTCCATAGATTCCCACAAAGTTTTCAGCATTACGTCTTTGTCTCACAGTTTTCACAAGAGCTGACCCAATAGCTTTTATTTTTTTATCTACCTGAAAAACATAAGCATAATCCAAATTCACTTACCTCATTGTAAATGAGCCATGAGTATTTATTTTTGGAAGGGAGTCGTATTCTTAGACATGGATAAAACCCTGTAAGTGAGCATTTCGAAATCATATTAAAAACGGATATCACAGAAATTCAAGCCTACGGAATTTTTCACTGTAATTACAATAATATAGCGTATGAAAATATTTTTGGAAGGCTATAAATAAAGTTTACGAAAATACATAGACTGATAAATGCTAAGCAATGAAAATGAATTTAAGAAATTCAATATTTTACTTGTCGTCATTTACTGTTGGTTAGGTTTGACTGTGTTGAGGAAATTTTGGCTGAAAATGTGGGTCTTAGTTAAACCTACTAAGTTTGTGCTTCCTCATCTGAGGTGAAGGAATTTGGCGTGATTTTATTTTCAAGTAGAACTTGGATTTCAGATATAGATATTGACTAACTAAGTGGAAATTTCAAATCCGAAGAAATTAGACACGAAATAGCAAAAAAGGTAATAGTCAGGGAACAGATACGATGTCCAAGATTTGCGGGAGAATAATAATAAAATGGAGCAACGTCACCCTTATCTTCTTTCAAGCTACTTGTCTAGGGTCTTACGACGCTCAACTAGAAGTCCTATATTCTACAAGAAGTGAAAGACTGCAATCAGTTACCCCTAACGATTATTGCTATTTTAAAAAATATTCGAGGTAAGAATAAAGAAAATTCCTCGTGTACAATATTGAGGACAACAAGTTTATATATATATGAACAATTGGCATTGACATCTTTCGTTCCAAGATTCTCTTAATGATTTCTAGAAAGCTGAGTAGAGATTCATAACTAAACAGTCTTGCTACTGTGTATCAATAGCAAAAGAGTGATAAGGTTTTAGTACGTTATGATCGCATCAAATATATTTTCCTAGTTAAAACTCTTTAGGAACAAACGATAATCAACATGTAGTTGAATAAGTGGATTTACTTGAAGTATTTAAGCCATATTCAAAAACATCTTTCATTGTTTTCACTGGAATTTTGTCCACGAACTTCGAAAACAAATGGGGATTTTCGTGCACCAGTCTAAATAGTATGAAAAATTTGGGTGGATTGTTTATTGTTTGAAAGACCTCTAACTGAAAAAAAAGTTTTTGTAATCAGTAGACAAAAGATAGCAATAAAAATTACGTTCTTTATTCGCTGATTGATGTAGCAAATAGATATTTTAAGGGCTTTAAAACGAATAGGGAATTCGGGATTTTTTCGGACAACGTAGTCTATAACGTATATAATATTGAATAAAGCCATTAATAATAATGATAATAATAATAGTCATGAATTGGTCCAAATTAAAAGCTTTAGTTTATGTAGTACGAAAACTACACATGTTTAGAACACTTGATAAATAAGATACGTGTTTTACAAGAGGAAAAAATTAAAAATCGAAATTAACTTATGATTTATGTCGGTTACAAGGTTTCGGTAAATGCAATAGGCAAATTGAGGATGAACCGGCAAATTATGACTCCGAATAGGGTTATTAAACTTATTCCTTACATTTCAATTTTATTACGAAATCACCGAACTCGCATTCTTCGTGTAGTTTGCCGAAATAATCGTGTACCTGCTTTGAAAATCATTTATTTTACCAGAATGTAGTATTTTTACTAACTGGTGATTCCTTTGTACTTGATTGCGCGCTTAATACGAATTCCAAGTCTAATATGTCTGACTGTGCTCACCTTGTTCCACCTACCTTAAATTGCTGTATTCAGACAATTCTTAGTTGGTACATTAGTTCAAATACTTCTAATTAACATACAACAACATGTTTTTAGGTCTCTAAGTTCTCCAAATAAGACTTTATTTGTTCAACCAAGAATTAAGAAACTTACTTTCACAAAACACGTAAAAGATGTGCAAATAAGTGAACCTATACGACAAACAACTATAAAAAGTCAACAATGTAGAACTATGTGCACGTGTTTGTCAGTTTGCACAGCACATCACCAGCAAAAAGGATCATGAATGAAGAAAAACATTGATGCAAGAGAAACTAAGTTTGGATAGGAAATGAACAGCTACCTAATGATAGGACGTTTAGAACTTTAATTAGGAAAATGGATTAACTGAAAATAAAGTCCATAAAAATTTCAAATAAGTTCGCCGAGGTCTAAACATTTAGGCAACTTTGTCCATATAATTTATCTAAGAATAAAGGCATCTGTCTTGAGATGATGAGTAAGATTTGCTGTTCAGATAGACAATTTTTGTGGAGTTTCGCCCTCTGAACTGGATAGCTTAATCTTGAAGCTTAAATTGTTTTCTGAACAATACCATAGGCACGAACTTCACCAAATCAACTGCCTGCAAACTTTATTCAGAACGCAGGAATACACCGCAGGATATTACAGTGAGGAAAAATGAGGGAAAGAACAGCTATTTACTCAGCTTCGCCAAAAAATATAAATCCAACTAACCAGCAGAAATGAAACCAAAGATGAAAATCAAAAAAATGAATGATTCTACCAAATTCAGAAGACAAATAACGGGATTATTGAAGCCATTTGGAACGGATCTAACGCATAAATCGGCAAAATCTCTTTAGTCAATCTTATTCAAACCAAGGGATAAAATGACGAAAGGAGAAAACCGAACATCATCCACAATAAACTGTTGCAAACTCTACATTCGACAAAGTGGACTCCATCTTCATCTTTACATGCATGAACATCATTTAGTGGTCAAAAGCCAGGGAAGATCTTGGCTTATATCAAAGCATATGGAGAATTGTAGACGCACATTCGACTGGAAAAATGTTGGAAACTTTGGTGGAAGGAATACTACAAACACTCGGGAATCGTTAAAAGCTTGTCACTTAAGTCAATCAGCAGTCAACAAATAGATCGAAATCCATTCAATCTATCAGAAGATTCATGGATAAATATAAGATCAGGAATAAGATCAGCGAGCGATACAGTCCAAACAAAAAAGCAGTCAATGACAGGTTAAAGATCAATAATAAGTAATCAAATCGAGGTCAAGAGGACAAGCTCTTAGTCAAATAAGGGGAAAATTCAAATACACCACTCGGTTATAAATTTTATTTGACATGTGTTGTGATTACCAGTAACATTTTTCATTTTTTGTTAACTTTGTTCCTTTTTTTGTTCAATCTAACATTAAACTAAAATGTAATAATTTACTTTCGTCTGTTTTGGGCAGCATATGTGTCATACCAAAGAATTTTAGGTGACGTTATACTGAATTACGGTTCAAAAGCTTAAACATGTAATTTTTAGCCACCACCCGATCGAAGCTGCTACCTTGACGCGGTGGTCGGGCTTGCCTATCGTGATGACCCAACCGAGCTATATTGGCTGGAACATATGTTCCTGTAGGTTCTACCATGCCAGGCAGGTCGATTGGTGAACGGTAGGACTAAAAGCAGCAACTCAAGGTCTGAGGGCGAAGTCGTACTGCTGACTGTAGAGGGGTGTGGCAGCAGTAAGGTGTTTCCTTCGGACAACCAGCATCTGCAGCGATGCTGCCTTCCCACAAGGAGGGGTGGGGTTAGAAAAGGTCGACCCTTAAAATGTCACACCTCACCTTACCTCACGGATTTCCGTCTCCGGCGGTAAGGACCTTGGAAGAACGGAGCTAACACGTCAAAAACCTTCCACAAAAAGGCCGTGCGCGACCGGCCTCAAGCAGTTGTCCCTTGGGCTCTGCGGTCACGCTCCCAGGTCGTTAAGACCAACACTAATCCAATTTCCTTTTCAGGTTCCTCAAGAAATACCCTTCCACGGTGTGGGCAGCCGGGAAGTGACATCAGCCCTCATACCCGTAACAGCACAAGAGACCAAGGTGGTCACATTCAAATCCTTCCTACACCTCCTAATACCTCTCTTATCTCCATGACTAACCCTCCTCACGTCTCTTTATCACCTCGCACCGCTAGGGCAAACGATTTGAGTACGTGGAACGTCTTTCCTGGTCTCCTGAAACCACGCTCTAAACTACACGTAGGAGCTTTTAACGTACGAACACTTTGCCAAATAGGACAGCAGGCTTCCTTAGCTAAAACTTTAGAATCCCGCGCCATCGATGTGTGCTGCGTCTCCGAAACGCGTATACAGGATCCGAGAAGCGTCATTCATTTGACCTCACCATGCCAAAATAAAGAACCGACTCGATTCACACTTCGTGTATCTGGAAGCCCTGATTCTGCTTCCCGTGGCCTCGCAGGCGTAGGTATAGCATTGAGTCCTAGGGCAGAACTAGCTCTCTTAGAGTGGATCCCAGTAGACAGTCGTTTGTGCGCTGTCCGACTGAACGGAACAGTAAGAATCCGGAAAGATAGGGACACTCGTCGTTGCCTCTTCGTCGTCTCTGCCTATTCTCCCACTGACTGCAGCTCAGATGATGTAAAAGAATTTTACAGAAAGCTTTCGGACCTTCTCCGAAAAGCTAAGCGCTCGGATGTAGTAATAGTGGCCGGTGACTTTAATGCTCAAGTAGGTAAACTTAGCGATAGGGAAAGACACCTAGGTGGATCTTATGGTGTCGTGGCTCAAAGAACACATAATGGCGACCGTCTGTTGCAGTTATGCTCAGATAACCGCCTGTTCCTTGCAAATACTAACTTTAGGCATAAGGAAAAACATCTTTTAACATGGCGACCCTCTAATTCTTCCTAACGTTGGACCCAAATAGATCACATAGCTGTCAGCCACCGATGGAGGGGCAGTGATATCTGCTAGTAAGGTAAACCAGAAGGTTAGGGAGCAACACTGGATCTCAGCAGCATCTATCGCACTGATAGATGCTCGGAAACTCATTCCACCTGGCTCTGAACATAATGAAGAGCGGAGTCAGCTTAAGCGCAAGCTGACAAGAAGTCTACGCAATGATCGCGAACAGTGGTGGGTAGCGAAAGCAAGAGAGATGGAAAAGGCAGCGGCAATAGGTAATAGCAGACAATTGTTCAGACTCGTTAAGGAAACCGGAATTAGGAACCCGACCGTTAGCGAAACAATCTCAGAGAAAGATGGACATATTATTCATTCTCAATCCAGGAGATTGGATCGATGGGCAGAACACTTTAGGGATCAGTTCAACTGGCCTTCAGCCACACTTCGGTTTCCCACGATCTCCAGTCAACCTGAATGGCAAGTTAATGTAGGTCCTCCGTCCCTTTACGAAGTTGAAAAAGCCATAGGAAATCTGAAACGAGGGAGAGCAGCAGGCCCTGACAGGTTTACTCCTGAGATTTTTAAGGATGGTGGTCCAGTATTAGCAATGAGATTAACTGAGGTCTTAGGTAGAATTTGGGAACTGGACGTAATCCCATCTGACTGGTCTCAATCACTGATTGTGCCAGTCTATAAGAAAGGACAAAAGTCCTCTTGTGACAATCACAGAGGAATCAGTTTGACTAATATAGTGTCTAAAATATTAGCTTCAATAATACTTCGACGCCTAATCAAAGCTCGTGAAGAGCAGATTAGAGAAAACCAGGCTGGTTTTCGACCTGGACGTGGTTGTATAGATCAGATATTCACACTACGTCAGGTTCTAGAACACAGACACACATTCAGACGCCCCACAATGGTAGTATTTCTCGACCTTAAGGCGGCATTCGACTCTGTTGATCGTGAGGTTCTATGGCAGTGTTTGTCACTGAAAGGAGTACCAAAGAAGTACATTAACCTTATAAAGGCTCTCTACTCGAACACAACTGGTAGAGTGAGAGCTTATGGCGAACTGTCATCAGAATTGATTACCTCAAGTGGTGTTCGTCAGGGCTGTCCACTCTCCCCATTCTTGTTCAACTTTGTGGTCGACGTACTTTTAGAGATAACACTCTCCTCATCTAAATTTCAGGGGTTGAACTTCTACCGGGAGGTTCACTTGTTGACTTAGAATATGCTGATGACATAGTTTTATTTGGTGAAGACGCTGACAAAATGCAGAGTCTTCTGACCACTCTAAGCAACAATGCAAGCATGTTCGGGATGCGATTCTCTCCCTCGAAATGCAAAATGTTGCTTCAGGATTGGGTTACATCGACACCCGAACTAGTGATAGGGAGTGAAGTAGTTGAGTGTGTCGACCGCTTCACTTATCTTGGAAGTCTCATCAGCCCTTGTGGTTTAGTGTGTGACGAAATCTCAGCACGGATACAGAAGGCTCGACTAGCTTTTGCCAACTTGCGTCATTTATGGCGTAGGCGAGATATCCGTCTATCAACCAAAGGACGTGTTTACTGCGCAGCAGTTCGTTCCGTCCTACTTTATGGCAGTGAAACATGGCCGGTAAGAGTAGAGGATATCCGTAGGTTACTAGTATTTGATCATAGGTGTCTTCGAAACATTGCTCGTATATCATGGGACCATCGAGTAAGTAACACAGTTGTTAGGAAACGGGTACTAGGTAAGGATGGCAAATCAATTGATGAAGTAGTGAAACTTCATCAGTTGAGATGGCTGGGACACGTGTTACGTATGCCCAACGACCGACTGCCTCGACGTGCTATGTTCAGTGGTATAGGAGTAGGTTGGAAGAAAGCTAGGGGCGGCCAAACCAAAACATGGCACAAGTCCATGAAGTCACTGACAAGTGAACTGAGTCATGTTGGTAGGTGTAGACTACCTGGTTGGGGACCGCGAGATGATAGCAACCGATGGTTAGAGACCCTGAATGACATGGCTCAAAATCGTTTGCAATGGCGCAGGTGCATCCACTCTCTGTGTTCTCCCAAATTCTAATCTTCTGAATCCTTCATGTCCCTTTTTTCCTCTTTCCAAATTTATTTCACTGGATTATACTCTTTAAATAACATCTCCAAACCCTAATCTTCCCGATTACTGCTTATACTCTTATTACCTCTACCACTACGGGATTTGAATCGACAACTGCATCTCTGTGCTAATGTGGTGTGGCAACTCGAACTGATGTACGTACGTACGAAGTTCTACGTTGTTACTGACGGACTGACTTAAACTGCTTAGTAATAAAACCGAGTTTTAAGGGAATATTCGATTTATTTTTGAGTTAGTTGGTCCTTCACATGAATGGGAGGCAAAACTACGACATAGACTCAGATAACCTAAACCGTAAAGGCAGGTGAACACCGGGTGGTTGAATTAACTGTCTATCATTAAAGACTTCATGACGTGAGTCGAGAATATTCTTTGTAGCATAGATCCAGTAATTCATTATATTTCTGTTAATCCTAGAGTTGATACGATTTTAGATATTTCACTTTGCTTGTTTCGATCATGTTGCTGATTATTTTAAGTTTCCAACTGTTGAATTTTATTCTTTAGCATAATGATAATTGTAGCGCTTCAGGCTCAAAAACGTGTGTCGTATTGCACGCCACTTAATTTTACCAATAAGAAAGAATTTGACATACATTACCTTTTCAAAATATGCGTTATATCTTTTAGGACACCGCAGTATGAATAGTGAGAGAAATGATTAGTTGTGTGACCATCAACTTACTTTTGGATCACATATTACTGACTGCTGATTTAGATGTACACTGACGAGATTTTCTGGTGCATTTGACTTAAAAAGTTTCAAATAGGCTTTTGGGAAGCTTGATCTATTTTCTTTAAAAGTAGAAATGATGAGAAGATACAACAAAGTAGTGAATTCGCAGTTTAAAAGCTTAGTTCAATCAATAACGATAATATTTGACCAGAGAGTCACTTATCAAAAGACAATTATTCATTTTAGGTAGCGTACGTTTAAGCGACATCGAAAACTATCAAAATTTAAAGCATTTATGAAACAGTATGGTTCTAAAGGTGGAACATTACGCTTCTAGGACGATTTTAAAATTAGTTTTGAAGAGACCATAAATAAAACACGCTTGAAACATGTTTTGACAAGATCACAGTAATGAAAAGTAATCTAAGAGATTCATTCATGCCTTCCTACGCGAGACTTCTTAGCTTACTATAGTTAAAAAAAAACACCTTCACACTACATTTTAACAAAACAGTTGACAACATTTAAAAATAGGTTTTCTTTAAAGGTTAAGAAATCGAAAAACCACTGGAGGTTCAAATTTTATTTTTTTAAAAGTGTACAGTGCCACAGTGACGTTCGTTCCTTTCAAAACGTAACATATGCTAAGCATCTTAAAGTATTGGTTCCAAAATATTAATAGATAAAAAATGGAACTTATTTTGGAAAGCAAAACACTGATGGCAAGATAATCTACAGAAAATTACTAATATCAAACTAAAAAATCAGTTACATGGAAACTATTTTCAAACAACTTAAGATACAAAATCAGTGACATATCTAACTCACAGCCCACATTAATATAACACTTATTCACAATACGAATAGTCGGACTTTGATGCGAAAAACAAGAGAAATAACTAACTCATTTAGTACAGAAGAATAAGATCAGCTTCGAACAACAAATTACACAAAGATTGATGAGAATGCTGTAGCACCAACATCAAAATGAACGTCCTACACTAAACTCAGCATTTGTGAATAATTAAAATGAAGAGGAAAAACCATATTCTATGACTTTGTATAGAATATCGGAGCATGGAGAAACAGACACGGTAACAATAGTAATATCTTATTACAAGCGAAGTGAAGTTCTGTAATATGCACTAGTCAAACTGATATTAATTTAAACTGCTGCACAATAAACTGAATGCGCTCACGTTAAGTGAAATATCATAATGATTTAGCAATCTAAAGCAGCAACACCCACAAACTTATAAAGATAACTTTGTCGCTCAGTGTTCTTTACAATAACCCAAAATCCATACTAAATGAAACTCGAAGATCGAGGCAAGCTATTAATAACTTACATCTGAGAGTTTTAGAATACAATAATGATAAAATAGGGTTAAAAGTTAATATGAACCCTCTGGATGAGTGGACGATTTGGTGGTCGTTGAGGACAAGTAATAGCACAAGTACTGTAATGCACATCGTTTGCATAATTACATCAGAAATCAAATCCATTCACATAACATTGGTAACTGTAAGGATTTACGAGTCACAGTAAACGGTGGTCTCAAATTTAAGGGTGATAACAAAGCAGCAGGTGCGGATTTTTTGGGGACCTTTCAAAGCTATTTTGAAGACTAGACAGGAGTACCTGTTACATCTTGTCGCCCACCACGTTCAGAATACGAAAGTAAAGCGAGGAATCCTAGTATGAAATGTGAAACGTACGTGTTGGAATGAGCTCAGATGGTTGTAAATACAAGGATAACCTAAAATACCTCAGCTTTTCTCACCGATCCTGTTGCTAAGACATCATATGTATGGAAACCATTTAGAAGTGGTGTACACCAAAGTAACATCTTAGGTCCACAATTTCTTCTCTGAGTCAATGGATTACCAAAACTGCTTAAGCTACCGACATTGTTGTCCATAGATGGTGTCAAAGTTTGGAGAACAACACGTAATGAGACTGATAATCGTAATCTCCTAACAAATTTATACGGATTAGTTAAATGATTCCGAATTTTAGGTTTCGAGACGAACGATGGAAATAGTTCACTAATCCACACTGGACACGGCAATGGTTACTAGCATAAGGATCAACGGTGAGTAGCTTCCACATGTGCAGAAACAAGAAGATCTGGGAGTAATAGTTAGTTATGACTTGGAAACAACTGCGCACTACTATTCAACAGCTTTCAAAGACTTTTGAGAGTAATCGTTGTTTTGCTGAACATTCAACCATTTTGACTAAGATATGCTTCAGGTATTGTGCTACACCCACGGGAGACCCTACATTGAATTTCGCATCCAAGCCGGAAGTTCACGTTATATTGCGGATACGAACATACCCGAGTGTTCAGTGTGCAGAAACAAGTTTTTTCCTTTTACTCTCTGCAAAAACAATCATGTTGGAGGCCACCGCAATAAGGTTCTAAAACCAAGCTTCGGTTAGGATTCCGTTTTTTCCCATCCAGTGGTCGGAGACTGGTACCAGTTTCACCAGTGGGCGCTTTTAAGGAGAAATCAGATCTTCAGTGAAAAATAAGCTCAAGAGGTTGTCACAGTCGAGCGGGCTATCATTCCTATTAATAACGACCGAAACCAAGATCAAATCCTACACACTATAAATATATTAAGGTTAGTTTTTCATACCAAACTATAAAATACGAACTATTTAATGGAGTATATAGTATAATCACTCTCCGTTACTGCTCCGAAAATGACAGCAAATCTAAGCAATACCATGAATTGGGATTATTGTGTTCTATTGCATGTTGAATATTACATACGATCTATTTTTGCGACTAACAAATCAAAGGTTGAACAGTGAATGGATTAAGGGATAAAAGATTACCAGGTACTCTTTTTTTCGAAATTGGTTAGTGATATTTAAAGATCTCATTTGTGTTAATCTTTAAATTTCTTTGAAATTTAATTTGTGATGAATCTTTGAATGTAACTCTATTTAGTGTGAGTAGTACAGGTGTACAACGACATGAAATATAGCCATATCAGCAGCGATATCATGAACACTTTACAACGTATTTCTTTGTTCCTCAAAAATATAAAATGCATTTCTCAAAGTACTTAATTCTGTTATGTACTATTTTGAACAAGATTAACAAACAATATACACCCAAACAACCCAAGACGAAGGACTAAAATCAAAAATTAGTGAATAAAGAAAACCATCCGTCAGAAAATAAAGAATGAAAATCAAGAAGTCTATTAAAAGTTTACTTTTGTGTTTTTCATGGGGAAATCGCCCGAAATTCTCCCTGTTTGTCATTTTAAGTTCGTAATCTCGTCATATACCCACTTTTCCGCTAAAATATAGACCATTTGTTCCTTTTTTACATTGAGAGAAACCTTACTCCAACATTTAATAAAATTTTCACTATGTAATAAGGTCAAGTCAATCAAATTAAACCCCATTATTTTTAGTTCAGTATGAAACAGTGGTGTCCGTACCTTCGACTGGCACATTCAAGATAAGATAAGACGCCCAGAGAGGGATACTAGAAATGGAATAACGTAGGCTTCAGGGCTCCCGTCCTTACTTCACAAATCTGAGTCTCACATATATTACAACAAATGTTCCATATACGTCATCAGTCTTCACAAAACTTAGAGCCAGTTCTCAAGTCTTAATTACTTATTAACTATGAAATTGACAACTGGATCACTGTATTTCTATGTAAATTAAAAGTCTTTTGTTTGAACCGCTGAAGACTGTTTGAAAAATTGACTTACCAGACATTCTCGAAATAATAACGTTTGTGGATTGAAAGTATTATTTGAAGAAACAATGACTATCTTTCATCAAAGTACTGTCTTCTCAAGTGAAAACCACCCTTTTATATAGTGGCGAGTGTTCAACCCGAAATCTAATTAGCTAGTTTGTCTGCTCGTTGTTTATGGCCTTCAAGCCTACTTCCTCAAGTTCCAATATATAATAAAAGTCAAATTATCTTATTAGCTGCGAGTAGAATGTAAAGCTTGGAGCATTTATTTAGCCGCAATTAGTAGATAGTACTCTTACATTCTAGTCCGCCACGTTATGTCAATAATATTCGAGAGTACTCCCCAAGTTTTCACTTACATATTTGGACCGTGGAAGATCATTCTGAGCATCTTATATATGTATTATTCAAAGCTAATCTTTACTTACTTACTTATGCCTGTTACTCCCAATGGAGCATAGGCCGCTGACCAGCATTCTCCAACCCACTCTGTCCTGGGCCTTCTTTTCTAGTTCCATCCAATTCTTGTTCATTTTTCTCATGTCTTCTCCATTTCTCGGCGTAATGTGTTCTTTGGTCTTCCTCTTTTCCTCCGTCCTTGAGGATTCCATGTGAGGGCTTGTCTTGTGACGCAGTTGGGTGCTTTCCTCAATGTGTGTCCTATCCACTTCCAGCGCTTCTTCCTGATTTCTTCCTCCGCTGGGATCTGGTTTGTTCTCTCCCACAGTATGTTGTTGCTAATAGTGTCCGGCCAACGGATCTGAAGTATTTTGCGTAGACAACTGTTAATAAACACCTGTATTTTCTGGATGATGGCTTTCGTAGTTCTCCAGGTTTCTGCCCCATACAGTAGAACTGTCTTGACATTTGTATTGAAAATCCTGACCTTGGTGTTGGTTGACAGTTGCTTTGAGTTCCAGATGTTCCTCAGTTGTAAATATGCTGCTCTTGCTTTGCCGATCCGCGCCTTCACATCTGCATCAGATCCACCCTGTTCATCAATGATGCTGCCCAAATATGTAAAGGTTTTTACATCTTCCAAATCTTCTCCGTCAATTGTGATTGGATTGGTGCATGCTGTGTTGTATCGGAGAATCCTGCTTTTCCCTTTGTGTATATTGAGACCTACTGCTGCTGAGGCTGCTGCCACACTGGTCGTCTTCTCCTGCATCTGTTGTTGCGTTTGGGATAGAAGGGCCAGATCATCTGCGAAGTCTAGATCGTCCAACTGCATCCTAGATGTCCATTGTATCCCGTTTCCCTTCAGACGTTGACGTCTTCATGATCCAGTCGATCACCAGGAGAAAGAGAAAGGGTGAGAGTAAGCAACCTTGCCTGACACCGGTCTTTACCTCGAACGACTTTGTCAACTGTCCTCCATGCACAATTTTGCAGTTTAATCCATCATAGGAATTTCGTATGATATTGACTATCTTCTGAGGCACGCCGTAGTGTCGAAGAAGTTTCCATAGTGTTGTTCTGTCCACGCTATCAAATGCCTTTTCGTAGTCAATGAAGTTGATGTAGAGTGATGAATTCCATTCAATTGATTGTTCCACAATGATCCGTAGAGTTGCGATTTGGTCTGTACACGATCTATCCTTACGGAATCCTGCCTGTTGGTCACGAAGTTGGGCGTCTACGCAGTCCTTCATCCTGTTTAACAATACCCTGTTGAAGACTTTTCCCGGTATTGAGAGAAGAGTGATGCCCCTGTAGTTATCACACTTGCTGAGATCGCCTTTCTTCGGTATTTTGATCAGAAGTCCTTCTTTCCAGTCTTTTGGTACTTGTTCCTCATCCCAAATCTTATTGAAGAGAATGTGGAGTATCCTTGCAGTTGCCGCTACGTCTGCTTTTAGTGCCTCTGCTGGATTGTCCGGTCCTGCTGCTTTGCCACTCTTGATTTGTCTGATGGCCATGCTGATTTCTTCAATTGTTGGTGGGCCAACATTGATTGGGAGGTCCGTGGGTGCTGCTTCGATGTTGGGTGGGTTCAGTGGAGCTGGTCGATTCAAGAGTTCTTTGAAGTGTTCTACCCACCTGTTTTGTTGCTCTTCAATGTTGGTGATTACCTCGCCTTCCTTGCTTTTCACTGGTCGTTCTGGTTTGCGGCGATTTCCAGAGAGTTTCTTTGTCGTGTCATACAGTTGTCTCATGTTTCCTTCTCTTGCAGCCTTTTCCGCCGTCGTTGCTAAATCTTCCACATATTTACGTTTGTCGGTTCTGATGCTCCTCTTCACTTGTTTGTTTACTTCTGTGTATTCAGCTTGTGCCTTGGCTTTTTCTGCTCTTGTTCGACTGGTATTGATTGCTGCCTTCTTGTTCCTTCTTTCTTGAATCTTATCCAGTGTATCAACAGTGATCCATTCCTTGTGGTGGTGCTTCTTGTGACCCAGGACCTCATGACATGTTGAAGTGATTGCCTCTTTGATCCCCTTCCAGTTGCTCTCCACAGTAGTTCCTTCTCCATTGAGTAGATCATGAAAGGCCTGGAACTTGTTGCTGAGGACTATCTTGAATTTGTTGAGTTTGTTAGTATCCTGAAGAAAGGCCGTATTGAACTTTTGTGATATTGTCCGCCCCGTTGTCCAGTGCTTCTTGAGTTTCAATTTCATCTTGGCGACCAGCAAGTGATGATCTGATGCTATATCAGCTCCTCTCTTGGTTCTCACGTCCTCTATAGTCCTCCTGAACGTTTTGTTGATGCAAATATGGTCGATTTGGTTTTGGGTGTGATCCGGTGAAGTCCATGTGGTTTTGTGTATGCGTTTATGTGGGAATATGGTGCCGCCTATGACCAGTTTATTGAAGGCACATAGGTTTGCAAATCTCTCACCATTTTCGTTCTTTCTCCCAGTCCGTGTCGTCCCATGATGTCTTCATATCCAGTGTTGTCCGTTCCAACCTTGGCGTTGAAATCTCCCATCAGAATGGTCAGGTCCTTTGTTGGGCACTTCTCGACGATTGACTGCAGCCTATTGTAGAATTGATCTTTAGCGTCTTCATTGTAGTCGTTGGTAGGCGCATAGCATTGGATGATGCCCTCTTTCTTTGTTTTGAACGAGGCTTTGATGATCCTTGGTCCATGAGATTCCCATCCTATAAGTGCATTTTGCGCTTGTTTGGACAGCATCAATGCAACTCCTTGTGTATGTGGTGCATTTTCATCTTCATGGCCGGAGTATAACAGGAGCTCTCCTGAAGTTAGTCGTTGTTGTCCAACTTGTGTCCAATGTGTTTCACTGATCCCAAGTACCTCTAGGTTGTATCTTCTCATTTCTGCAGCAATTTGGAAGGCTCTCCCGGTGTCCCACATTGTACGAACATTCCATGTACCTAAATAAATGGTCGCTCTGGTTGTCAGAAGGGGCATCGGCCTCGTAACTTCCGAAGGAATTCGGCTTTCATCATGAGGCGTCATAATTCTTCTAAATGAAGACCTTCTGACTCCCAGGGCAGAGTTTAAAAGGTTTGAATAATTTTTTCTGGTTAGCGTTTTTTTAGCGAGTTAGTTTTCTACGGGATGGGGACGCTAACCCCATGCCCAACCCTCCTCCTTTATCCGGGCTTGGGACCGGCAGTGGCCCCCGGAGGGACTCCAGGCGGAGTTAAGCTTTATTTGATTAAATAAATATAGGGTAAAGCTAATCTTTACCTTACATTTATTTAATCAAATAATCTCAAATCATTATTGTCGTGGCTTTCTTCCTTACCTTTGCTTTACTGCTTCGTTCTAGATTTTGTGCACTATTATTACTTGTGATTAACTGGACACACATTACCACACTACGTTTGATTTAAGCATATTTCAAATAAAGCCCGTCTCATGCATTCCGACCTATTTACTGCATTACGATGTCTGTGTAAATCATTCTTATATGGCTAGTAGTAATTCTACAACTGTATTGACATGATGGGGCTTGGAAATTTTGATATATGTACACTTCTCCTAGTAGTGGTCCAAAGGTAAACCCTGGCAGACTAATGATCGATCAGCAGACCACTGAAAATATGACTTAATGTATTCACAGAAAACCCTAGGAATCATTTTTCAATATCTCCTAAAAGTAAGAAGTGGCTTCAAGTAAGCTGAATGAATAATTTGTCATTTAGAGCATGTCTTCTGTGTGTATATCACTTGGGCATTCGTGACGTTATATACCATCCTGTTTGTACAAATTGTATGTGTCAATCATAGACATACTTTTCACTTTCTCATTTGTAAAGTATACACATTTCGTTTGCATGTATTCTATAAATTATGATTTCTCACTACCCCTGAAACCATCACTTTACTTAACTGCTTTGTAAATTCGATCGCTTTCTTAGATGACACAACATTTAAAGAGTTTTCATGACTTGATTCACCTTAAATTAAATCTTCATTGTTGAGTTGTATTCAATACTTAAAACCCCACTATCATTTTTTATTCGTTCGTTAAGCTGTAGCGGTAAATAAATCCCCAAAATAAATAGCTTGTAGCGACCTGTCTGTATCAAGAGAACGCGATGGGTTTGATGGAAACAATCATTATTCTAACCGATTGTACCAGTGGTTGTTTTACTGTGCTCGTTTGTTTAACTGTGCTAAAGGCAGCCATATTACTACTCCATTAGTCTCCATTACTTTTCTGTGGACTGTGACCTTGCACGCTTGTACTCTCGCCCACCAATTCCGCTTGTATTCCTTTTGGCACAATCTCGGTATTCGTTCGATACCACGAGATCGCCAACGAGATAAATCTGGTTACGCTCCATCTTCGCCCTCTGGTTTCTCTGGTACGCGCATCCTTTTAGTGGTGTTCATAGTCAATCTCGACTCGACTCCACGCTACAAGCTTTTTAAATTTTCGACATTGGATGTTGACGACATTAGATTTAATGGACTCACCTAGCTGAAGGTGCTCGGTCATGCTTCCGCACCAGATCACGAGTGGGAACGCCGTGCTCAACAACCACTGCAATCGCTAGCCAGATTAGATCAGACGATCCTCGACATATGATAGCCTATCGAATATATAATCGAACCTCCTCGCTTCTGTCATTTGATTTCACTTATTGGGTACGATTCATATCCGAAGGTGTAACTGGTTAAAGCGTTGTTAAACTCCGAATACCTGTATCATCTTCAAAGCGAAACAACACTATTCCAATTTCGTAGCTTTTTACATTGGATGCTTGAATACA